AGCGATATGAATTTTAACATATTTTAAAAATTTATTCATTAAATTTAATACAACGGAGCTTTATAAATTTTATTTTTACCTTCATATATATTGTAGGATTTATATTGTTTTTTCTTGTTGAAATGAATAAATAAATACATATTACGCATTTTTTTGATTTATACGATGGTCCCTTTTGAACGGCGATTATTCGATTCAAAAATGAATTATTCATATTTCGGAATAAGCGGAGCATTTTTTAAAAATGTATTTATCAAAAAATTACATTTATACCGGAGTGTGCCCTGTTAATTCCCATTTTTATCTCTTTTTAAACTGGATCTCGATGAAACTCTTGGTAAAAGTCTCTTCACGATTAATCGATTGCACTTATTCGAGTTCCCGTAATCGGCTCCCGTAATCGTTAAAAAGGGTATTGAACGTATGAAATAAAACGGTTCCTTTCGATATTTATTCCAATTTTATCCATCAACCAATCGAAAATAATACAATAGTTACTACGTTAAACTTCTGCAGTTCGTTGTTATTCAATACACACGTTTTTCCGCTACGATTGATAATAACATTTTCTCTCCTTCTTCTTCTTCTTTTTGAAACAGATCGAGATAAAGGAAAAGCGCGGAGAGAACAAATTATCGTAATCCATTTCTTATTTTATATATATATTTGTTAAACGACATTTAAATTTCAATCGGATTCTTTCTTTCGCGTAAATTTTTTAAATTTATTCCCTTCTTAACTTCTCCCCTTCGTAGAGAAGAATAATTCTAAGGTAAGAATTTCTCGAGAATTTCTCTTATATTCCAATGAACTTTTTTAATTTAAAATTATCGCGCCCGTGGTATTAAGGACCGGTTCGCGTCAAAAGGAAAAAAATCTGGCTTTGTTTTCGTCCCGATGGGAAATCCCCTTTTCATATCTCGTTGGCATGGCGCCATTAAAAGTGTCATCTTCTATATACCTTTTCGTTTTCTAGACAACTAGAGCGTATACTCGAATTCGGTTTCACGGATGGCCAGTCAAAAGCTTTGCGGAGGATAAATGCTGTTCGAATCAACGGGAATTTGTTTAATTAAATCTTAATTGGTAGCTCGATACACTTTTTCACTTTTATCATAATTATTTTTTCGCGTGTCTCACCGTTTTTCGTCTCATCTATTATTAGCCTTTCACTTTAAACTCAAATGCACGAGTAAATAAAAAAAAAAAAAAAAAAAAGAAATTTCGTCGTCCAATTAACAAGTCCACCCGGTTTCCTGCAGTCAACTCGAGCATGCTCGCTTAATTTTTCCAATGAAAACGTCGCATTTGCCCGATTCGATCGGCAACACGACGATATCCCGCCTTTTTTCTTTTCAGATACCCCATCTTTTTCCTTTCTTTTTTCTTTCTTCCCTTCTTTCTTTTTTTTTTACAGTTCGATGCGCAAATTGCTCGCTCGGTTCACGTTGTTTTTCAGTCCCCACCAGCTGCGCGATTCCACGCGTGTTTTTCGCACGGATTTGCAAAACCCGACAACTTTTTACCACCTACCTAGTTCGCGCTCTTTTTTCCCCATCCCCTTTATCGTGCTTCGTACATCCTCCTCCCTCCCTCTCTCTCTCTCTCTCCCTTTTCTCCCTTTCTTCCTCTCATTTTTTTCCCCCAGTTTAACCGGCAAACACTTCCGATTCCAGCTTCGACCAGGTATATAATACGTTACAGTGGTCGCGAACCGGGTCGGCCGATAGCCGCCCGTTTTCATCCGATCCTTTCGCGCCTTTGTTTCTCTGGGTCGGTGACGATGAAACTCTGTTAAATATACGCTTTCTCTCTCTCTCTTTCTCTCTTTCTACGTGGATATAAAACGAGACGATGATAAAACCCGGCGAATACTACTTTTAGTTCGTCTGGAATAATCCTATAGTCGCTCGCCGCCTCTCTTGCAGTTAAGCATCGTCGCGAGTTAAAACTGAGGGTAAATAAATTACTCGAGGACGAAGACGACGGTTGAAGGATCCCATATCTTTAAACCGTTTCACCGATTTATCGAATATCCATATCGTTCTCGATATTTATCCTCGACATTATCGTTTTTTCCCCCCATCCAGGTCGGCTCGCCTTTACAAGCAACAAGGGTCGGGAACGTATGAACGGTGTTGAAACTATTTCGAAGGAAACGTTATATTTCGAAGGGGAAGACACGGGTTGCAGTTAAAAAGTGACACGAGGCAAAACGGCTCGTAGGGTTTACTTCCGTCGTGTTACTTTTTTACGAGGCGCTGGTCAACGCTTCGAGCAAACGTAAAAAAAAAACGGCACGTGCTTTATGGTAGTGCTACGCGTCAAACCTCATAAATCGTGAGCGGTGTAGATGGAGGAGGAGAAGAAGGTAGAGGCTCGTAAGAAATTATCACGTTTCGTTCCTTTCCAACCTCTAATTTATCGTGCGTTTGTTGAAAGCTTATCTCCGTTTTTTTTCACTCGATTTACCTATATCTTCGTTTCAATAGTATTTTAATAGTTATTTTTTCGTTGAAATCGGAGTATTGAGAGTCGCGTATACATAATAAATAAGAAGGAGAAACTTACAGATTGATCCCATCGTAACCGGCCCCTATTCCGACGTGATCCACACCAGCGATCTTTCGCACGTGATCTATGTGAGCTGGAACATATGAAAACGTAGAAAGAAACATTATCGAACTTGCATTACAATATACAATAAAACTTTTAAATTATCGATTAATCGAGCGATGAAGAGAAGAAAAACTTTTTTCTAAACCCGATATTGCAACGTATCCGACGTTTATACCAATCTCACGTATTGTCATCACAAATAACTCTTCGATATTTTCAATTCCTGCTCGATCAATCTCTGTTCCACTGCAAAATAGGCCTCATACGCATCGAACTCGGTCCGAAATGACCAGATTCCCCTGGATACATTCGGCAAGATGGGCTCGATGACCCGTCTTCCTCGTACCTTAAGTGCAAACGTCAGTTGCACGGGGAGCAGATGCGGAGGATGCGCTTGACGCGCGGCGCATTATTCGAGAAACGCGTGGCCGATCGCTGCCGCGTTTGATATTAAGTGGTGGTAATTGTTGCGTTGGTAACCGACGTGCTATGAGCACCGGCCAACGAGAAATCAATCATGAGGGTAAATGTCGTCAATGGGCCCGTGTGCAACCGCCCCAAATTATGGCTTACGAGTACGTTTAACGCGCCGCTTCCTCTACGGGAGCATAATTTTCTCCTTGCTTCCCATAACGCGCGGAAGTGGATCGTTATCGTCACGCTTTATCGTCCACCATCGTTGCCGTTCCACTCGTTTTTGCCAACGATTCACGAGTCTAATCCTTCCGTTATCTTCCTTTAAAATCCAACGTAATAACAATGTTTTCTATTGTTCTTATCCAACGATTTATTATTGTTTAATTAACGTTAAGAGAAGAATCTTTGATAATTCTATTCGCGTTAACACGTATTTTCGTGATTAGGCGAACTCGATAAAAAAAGAAATGAATATTAGAGCGTAAAGTCTTTCATAAGCAAAGATTTAATTTATTGAGAAAATGTGTCAATAATAAAACTCGATTCTCGTCTGCCGTTTTTTTTCGTTCCCCATTTTCTCTCAAAGAATCGAATATCAAAAGAGCAAGGAAAATGTATACAAGAAAATAAATGATTTGGAACGAAGCTCTTCCATCTTTTGTCCCCATTTTTTACTCCATCTTTATTTCCTATCTTGCTTTTATTTTGTCCCCTCTCTGACTGATGAGTCAGTGAAAGAAATATGAAAAAAAAAAAATAATCCACGAGCGAATGAAATTCGTGGCTCCTTGGAGGAAAGGGGAAAGGGAAAACTCGCGACGTTATTTTGTTTTAAGCTCTCTCTCTCTCTCTCTCTCTCTCTCTCTCTCCCCCCTCCTCCGCGATATTCGCCTTCTGCGGTTTTGATATCCCACGACGCGAAGTGTGAAGGTTAAACATGCATGTAACTGGTATTCCTCGAATCCTCGATTTCATATTTTCCATAGCGAGGAATACGATCGTCAACGTGCTGTGGAAATTACGCTCGTACAACGACGCGCGTGCAATTTTTATCAAACGTCGGAAAGGTGGAGGAACAATAGGTGGAACAACTGCCGCGGATGCGGCATTTAACGTGATAAAGATAGATAAGCGGAGAGCGATGATAATAATTGCGGAGGAGGAAAATTTCGGCGTCGCTTAAAGACGGGTGGAATGCTCGCTTCGCCATCGACACGACACCCAATTGCAATGGAAATGCGACGAGCGACGTGGAAAACTGTATCGCGGAGCGGGAAGACAGAGAGAGAGAGAGTGTACGGAGGAAACGCCTAAGTTTCCTACCGTTGAAAGTTTCTAAAGTTTCTTACGTCTCGTGAATCACAAAGGGTCCGCAAAGATATGAAAGTGCAATTGCCCGTTCCCCACTCGGCACATTCGTCGCCGAACGTTCGATGAACATTTTTCATTTATTCTTTTTTTCTATTTCTTCTTCACTTTTCTTTTTCTTCTCATGGAACCGCATAAATTCGCTCTTGCTCGGATATATTTCATTTCTACGCGTGGAAAGGCGAAGTTTATTCAAAGCGTGGCCCGTTCGCGCCTGCTTTGATCCAAAGTACGTCGTGTGCACTGTTTCTCGTTCTCGATCCGTAGCTATCCGCGAAATTCCATCTTTTCCTTTGCCCTTACACAAATTCGAAAAACTGGCCCCTTTTAAACTCATTTAACGTGTATTTCTCGCAAAAATCCACTTTTGCTACGACGAAAAAGGGTACGGAAACTTTTGCTCTTGGAAAAATTTGATTTCGAGCGGAATCGATTATTATGAAATTTATCATTGCTCGAACTTTTACTTTTTCGTCTGTGAATTCGATATCTCGATTGCGGAAAAGAAATAGCGCGAAATTTCGAGTTATTCTCGTGCTCCCATTTATGCGTGACTATTCATTTCATCGTTGTTCATCGAAACAAGATTCTTCGAATGGCGATGAGATTCGCGATGAGAACGAATCGGATATAATGAAAATTATCGGCGAGTGTCGCGAGACATTTTCAGAGATCTCCAGACGGTGATACTGCAAAAGAGGCAGGCTTATCAGAAGGAAATCGTATTAACGCTAGGAGAGAAAAAGAAGGGAGGGGAAAAAAAAGAAAAGGAACAATTTCGACGCGACTCCCTTTCGATTAACTTTTATCCTGGAATACGAGACGGCGATCGCGACGGTGGGTTACGTGGAATAAAAGCCGAAATAGGGCGAACTTGATTAGAGAAAAGAATCGAGGAAGTTTATCGGAGCGGATAAAAGCGATACACGAGAGGAGAAATTTCATACGTGACGATTACATTAATCGTTTTTATCCGTTCAATTGGAACCGGTTGGAAAAGATTGCTTACCGGCTACGTCCTCCAACGTCGATTTTTCGCCACAGCTGATAAAATGGGGATAGAAGGATACCATAACTATACCATCTGTCTGCGCCTGAAACGGAAAAAAGGAAAGGATAATTTCGTAAAGTTTCTTCTAAATCTAAAAAGATTAATCCTTTACAGGATCGTAACTCACCAAACGTCGCAGCGCATGGTCAGGCACATTTCGCGAGGAATTGCAAAGGGCGTGAGCGCTGCTGTGGCTGAAAATGACAGGCGCCCTCGACGTCTTCATGGCGACCAGCATCGTGGGCACGGATACGTGCGACAAATCCACCATCATCCCGAGTCGATTCATCTCCAACACGATACTCTGGAAACGTCCAGTTCCGAGGAGGGATAATTGGGCCAAGTTTTCGAGCATTTCCTCCCCTCTTTCCCTCCTCCTAGCCGCGACAATGATACTCGGAGCGATAGCTCTTAAGCAGTTTCAAAGATATTCGTCCGCATTAAAATCGATCGGGCCATTTCGCGGATTTACTTCTTCTCTGAGAATCGAAAAGCCCGGATTAACGGGGGGCTTTAAACCGGTGGACGCGAGAGCCGGTTAGTTAGTAGGAAGATCGTTATTGAGGAGTCGGTATTAAGGGATAATTCGCATTTTTTTTCCCTTTATCCTCGATACAAAGGGATTAAGCCGAGAGGATTGAATCTCCATCGTCTTGGAGCGCTCGGCGATCGGCGGGATAAAAATCCTCTCTCTCTCTCTCTCCTTCTTTCGTAACGTGCTCACGTGTGTGATTCGTGACAGTTATTGCGACACCCGGTTTCGACCGGATTGAAATTCACGAGAGCCGGGTTCCTTAGACGCTTTGTTTCCGAGGAATTTCCAATCCCTGGGACACGTAACGCGCGATTCATAGGTTGGATACCAGCCGAGTTTGACTAGAGATTTGACTTTACCTATTCCATCCTCGGTTACCGCCATTCGTTCCGCAAGCTTTCGCGTTTCGCGTCTCGAATTCGCGATCTAATAGCCCCTCCCCTCTTCGTGACAACGCAAAAAGTTGCGCGGGAATCCGGTTTCGAGGTATTTTCTCTCGCGGATAAGAAATTTCCAATAAGTTCTATCGAGAAGACAAGGGAGCGGGAATATCGTTCTTCATATTTGACGTCAGATTTTCGAGATAGGGTTATTAATAGAAAACTCGATTTCACGGTTGACACTCGTCTCTCCCTTTTGAAACGAAAAGCAACGAAATCGCCCTTTTTCACCTCCAAACGGAACGATTTCTGTTCATCCTTGGAGATAAAATGCGAAGGGAGAATACACGCGATCGATGAAACGATCCCAAAGAATCGCGAGAAACATTGAAGAGAGCGTTCTGCCCCATTATATTTTTCTTTTTTTCGAAGCGTCGCGTCCATTGGAGGACGGCTTCGTTAAATCAGCGCGATCGTGGATCGTCTCCTTCTTTTTCTTCTTCTTCTTCTCTTTTCGATTCGCCTCACCAGGATTTCAACGAAATCGTGTCAGCGTCCGTACTCGACGAGATTCGAGGCGTCATTTATCGCGTTAACGGCCGTTATCGCGAAATTAGCGAAGTTGTGCAACGAATATGATCGGAGAATTGTCTCGTCGCGCCGCCACCTTTGCCCGGGATCCTCGCGAAGAATGCTTCGTTAAAGTAACAACCCGATGAACTTCACTCTTCCGGATTACTTCTTCCCTCCTTCTCTCCTCTAAGTCCGAGCCTTATCGCGCGCGTGGATCGTTTCGTTTTCTCAGCCGTGAGACGAGACAATCTCGATTTTCTTCCGGTGTTAGTCACCGAGAGAGAGAGAGAGAGAGAGAGAGAGAGAGAGAGTTCAGCGACAAGGTTCGACGGAAAAGCATTCTGCAGCGACGTTGCATCCGCTCGCTAAAAGCAACGAGAAAGCGCGCTCCATCATGGAAGATGAAACACGAGAGTCGTGGCGTTCATCCATGCCCCGTAAAGAAAGCGAAAAAGATAGGATGGATGGCGAGAGACGTACGAATTTTCTTAATCACGCGAGGGGAAGTTTTTGAAATAAACAATTTTCCGGTTGAAGAGATTCTATTAAAAAAGATCGGTCGGGGAGAAGTGGGAGGAAAAAGAAGTGGGGCGAAAACGTTTAAGCGTCTCGCATGGCATGGATAATGCAGAGAGGAACACGTGCAAGTGACGCTCGAGAGAGAATGATATTCACCGAGAAAGCGACGGCTTCGTAAAAGCCGTTGAATCTCGTAAGCCCTCTGTTCGCTCGCCTTTCCCTCCTCCGCTATTTTACCCACTGATTTATCAGCGAGCCGGTTGTTTGTTACCGTTTTAATTCGATACTCGTTATCGTCTCGAAATTCGACGATCACGGTTTTACTCTTCACGAGAGACGTACATCCCTCGTGTATACGCGAAAGAGGGATTGCATAAAAAGACGTTTAAAAATGAAAAATGATCCCCGAGTTTCCCCGTGGGGAAAGTTAGACCAAGATTTCGGCTTCGTTCGTGATACGCTCGTTCGGTGATTCATTTCTTACGGGGCATAAGTCGGATGGCGGTTGTATTCTTTCTTTTTTCCTCCCGCCCATCGAAGGAATTCACCCTTAAAAAGTCAGATCTCGGGGTTAAGGTGGCGCAACACCGTGTAGTCCGACAGAATGACGAATAAGCTTTATTCTTCTACCCGATCTTCCTTCCCCCGGTGAGGAATACTCGCTGTCCACGTTCTATCTATTCCATCTATCTACTCTTTCTCATTTTTTCCGTTTCGTCCATGGTGGAAAATTCGATTCCTCCCAACAGTAAAGAAAGGCTATCTAAAATCTCTCTCGAGCGTCAAAAAATGGCGAATTCTTCGTTTAAAAGTTTTCCACCGGATCAGTTTCGTTATCATCCGATCTATATATATATATACAAGGCAAGGAGAGGGGAAAAAGTTGGGTCGGGTTTTTATATTCGAAACTGGGCGAAGATCGGTGTAGTTTCGATCGTAGTGGCAAAGTCAGCCAGGAGAGGGACACGGAGAGAGTTGTCCGGTTATCCTGTTCTTTCCACCCGGTCAAACTTCGCCTCTTCGTACTTGTGTTCGTCGCCGCCGTTATCGTCCACCAGCACGACTCGAGTTGCGAAACTGTCGATGCCCGGCCGCCTATTTAGACCTCCCCCCTCCAACTTTCAGAAACAAGCTGGCAGCTGGCCTCAAAAGGGCGGCTGGTCATTCCGCGGAACGCTTTCGAAAACTTGTCGGTCGGACACAAGTCGCGAGTGTTCTCCAACTTGTGAAGGCGAACGATCCGCCCGATTCGAATTTTCCCAGGGGATCGACTCCTCCAACAAATTCTCTTGATCGACGGCCGCTTCTCGTTTTTCGAGGACACTTCCTTTTTCTTTCGTTAACTCGAATTAACAGGGAGTTACAGCTTGCTATGCAAATGGTGTGGCAGGTGAAATTTCGTTTCTCCCTCGATACGGACCGCCAACTTTTTAATCGCGTTAAGTCGCGGTTTAGTTTCCCGCTAGCGTGTTCCTACTTGCCTCGGCTCGAGCTTAAGCGGTTCCTCCTCCCGTGAAAGGAGACGGGGAGCGTTGGCGCTCGCCTCGAGAATGAAAATCGATTCGCGGTTGTATTTGTGGTGTCGAGAAGCGAACGAGGTGTCGAAGCGAGCTAACGAAGTATCGAAAGTTTCGCGGCGTCGACGAGATGGTCCATAGATTCTGGAAATTAAGAATCGGATAATGCGGTTGTATTCTTTCTTTTTTCCTCCCCCATCGAAGGAATTCACCCTTGAAAAGTCAGATCTCGAGGTTAAGGTGGCGTAACACCGAATGACGAATAAGCTTTTAGAGAGTTGTCGGGCGGCCAAGAGAGAGAAACGAGAGAGAGATATTAATAAACAGCAAAGAACACGTTCGTTGTTCGATGGAGGAAGGAATTAATCGAATGAAATAGAATTTCGTTGGCTTCGAGAAAAAGTTCTGGTTAAAAAATTATCGAGCTTCGTTCTTTACACGTGTACCATTCCTCCTTCTCTCGCGCACTTGTTCCTGCCACGATATTGCTCTATTGTCCTCGAAAGTTTGCACGGTGGAGAAGCATAATAAATCATCAGCTTCTTCCCTTCTCCCTCTCTTTTGTTCCACTCACTGATATCCGAGTGAATCGAACGGCGTCTAACGGGTAATTAATCACTACCTAACTAAATAATCGATCGATCCCCCGTCTCTCCAAACATGTCGAACACGATCGTGTTTGTTCGAGCAACCGTCGATCGATATTTTCGAGAAAAAAAATCGCACACGGTCATTCACAGAAACGCATCGTCGAGAATTAAAACGATGCTCAGTGTTTCTCATCCTCCTCACTTTCGTATCCACTTTCTTCTCCCCTCCACTTCGTTCCCGATCGCCTACAGTCGATAGTCGATCCGGCAATTAGCCGAAAGCATCGACCCGTGACGCGGCCTGTGTGTGCTTTTAACGCTCGAACTCGATCAACCGTCCGTAGATGTTTGCCCATTTTTTTTTTCTTTTTCTTTTTTTCACCCCTCTCGTCCGTGTCGATACTAACAGCCTCCCTCCTCCTCTCACGAGTCGGACATATAAACGCGGAAATTCGCCCCGAGAAAGGGACGCGTAACGACTCGCGCGTCACAGAGAACGAAGGCAAGGTGAGAAATTAGAATGGAGGGGGAGAAGTTTCACAGAGAGAGGTATATCTCCTCTGGAAGCGGTTTCGCGCTAATTGCTTCGCTCGAGTTACGTTTTCTTGAATTTCGTCGGGCATCCGCCATTGTTTCGGCCCCGCCAGAATTGCACCCGACCCCTCATCGGGCTAGTTGGACGCGCGGATACATATCCGAACGTGTTCAGGGGGGAGATTCATGCTCGAGTTCTCAGCCACGGAATGCTCGATCGGAGCAAACCCTTGTTTTCCCCACTCGTTGCTCGTTCACACCCTCCCTCTCTTCCCTTCGCGCTTGTATTTCCACGTTATTACGCGAGAAGGGAAGGAAACGAAGGGGAGGACGACTTCTTGTCAAACTGGTTACGATACTGGAACCAGTGTTCGAGGAGGAGATGAGTATGAGACGATACAAGGGGGAGGAAGGATAGGAATTTTTCAGAACCGAGGAGCAAGTTTCATCACGGGGATGGGAGCGGATGGGGTGAGTCTCTCTCAGGAGCACACTCTTCCCGGGATGGAGTGTATTTTTCCATCGGGGCGAGCGATTCTTTATTTCAATCCCTCCTCCGCTCGTTTCACCCTTCGATCTTTCTCTCTCGTGTTTCGCGGTTGTTCCTCCCGAGCGCGAGAGAGAAGAAGGAGCAGGGGAGGAACGTGCACGCCTCGAATTTTTCGGGGAAAGTGTGAAGCAGATGCGTCTTCTGGAGCCGAACGTATCCGTGGAACGATACCTGGAGTTTGGAAATTGCGATATTGACGGAAGATTGAAGTATCGGGTGAGGTAAAGGGAGAGGAGAAGGGAGGGGGGAGGTTCGATATTAAATAGACGGAGCACGTATCGCGGGATGAAAACGGCGAACGGGGTAAACTGGAGAAAAAAAAAAGAAAAAGTAGCCGTCGGACTATATCTCTTCTTTTTCCGGCGGGACCGTGTGGAATTTTTATTGAGTGCTTGAGGGAGCTGTTTATTACGCAGGTGTGGGTGAGAAATGGTGTAGCCGCCGAATGAGGTATAAAAGAAAAGTGGAGGATCGTATATAAAACGTCTCGGTGCACGGACGAGGCCGAGCTGAAAAAGAGCTGATTCTTTTTAGAGGAGGTGTATGGACGCGTATACGTATTCGAGTATACGTATATGAAACGTACGTACGCGTGTATTAGCATGGAAAGCGCGTTTAATACGTTTCTCTACGCCCCCTCTCTTACGTTTATCTCGCGAGATAACAAGGGAAGCCGGCCTCAAAGTGTAATCTTGTACCGCGAGATAGTCCACCTTGAATTTTCAAACCGTGTTCTTATTCCGTACGCGCGCTTTTCGCCTTTGAACGACTACCCCTCTTTTTTTTCCTTTCTTTTTTAAATGCTTCGACCCCTCTTGAACCCCCGTTCGAATCGAGAATTTTATCGGAATGTTTAAAACAGGAAGAGACACGTTACCGTTTCTTCCACTCGTTCCAGCGAAATATTGGAGGATCTTCTGTCGCGTCGCGAGACGACGTCTCGTTGTTTCGTTCGTTTCCTTCGCGCGAATAGACAGCAAGTTTGGCGGATAATGCGGCAAAATTGCGGGGAACGAGATGTCGGCGAGGAAAAGAATAGAAACGAGAGGGGAGAGGGTGGGGGAAAACAATCCAAACGCGGAGCGAGGAAACAAATCCGAAATTTCGCGGTGAAAACTTAAAATAGGCTGCTACGTACCGCCATTTTCCGTTGGAGCAAATTTCTGAACGACGTTTGCCGGATGTTCGTGCGTTCGTTTCTATCTCTTTTTTTCCTCCCCTCCCTGTTTCTTCGGGCGAAGAGAGCGCAAAGTTCGACTTGGATCGCGACAAGTTTTCGAAAGAGGAAGAAAGAGGAAGGAAGGGTGAAGCGACGAGAAGATGATCGAGCGCGGAATAGGCGTCCGTCCCGATTACGCGAACAAAAGAAACGATTTTTCGTATCTGGTCGTTTAACGAGGCTAAAACGATCGCGGGGGAAGAAAAAAAAAGAAAAACGTAAACGGTCTTCATCGAATATTTAAACGGCCTCTCCTCTTTTTCGTTTTATCCTCCCTCTCCGCTGGAACTTTTCCTCGACTCGAGTCGAGACCACCACAGTTTCCAAGTCGTTTCTCATACGTTTCTCCTTTCTTTTTTCCTCCCCTCCTAAGAATTCATCCTCTCCATTTACCCCTTCTTTTCTATCCTATCTCTTTTCCCCTTCGAAAAACATCCCCGAGGAACGTCAACTTTTGTCTCGTCGATTAGAGTAGAGAAAGAAATCGCAATGATAGTACTCACGACGCTCTCGGCCCGTGTGAGTTATGAACGCGATCCGCTCGTGACTCCACTTTTACCCTCCCCCGTCCCCGACTTATCGTTTCGAAAAACACGACGCGAGAAACGAAAATAATTAGATCGCGATGAAATTGATTAAGGAACACGACGGTTAACACGAGGATGATATTTTCTCGTTTCGGATTGTTGGCAACGCGGGGCAACCTCTGCTTTATATCTGCTGTCAGAATCGCCTAAAGTCGTTTCCTCCCTTGTATCTCCCCCCTCCCTTGGAAAACATCTCTCGGGATTGCCCGCCGTTTTTCTGTCGTTCGATAAATAAAACACGGAGCAACTTGGCCGCGTCACTTCGCGAGAAAGGAAGAAGCTCAAGCTCGAGTCTAAGCTTGTATCTCGATGGTCCAGCGATTTCTGGATTAACGTCGTTTTAAAGAAAGGACGAAGCTTGCGTTTGAGCCAAGGAATCACGCGTCGAACGACAGTTGCCGTTTGTCGCGCATGTATCGAAAGCGTCACGGATCTACTTTTCAAATTATTTTTCCCGCATATTCGAATACGAAGAATGTCCCTGGGAGCTTATCCGCTTATCCTCCATTTTTGAATGCGTTTTCACGAGTAGCATCGCGCGGCAAAGTGAACAGCTTTCTCCCACGGGAGAAATGGTTTTTCCTCCTCCTCTTCTTTTCCTTCCTTTTCTTCTCGCCCAATCGATGAAAGTTTGGTAAATATTTACGCCGAACTTGCCTTGGTTTCTTTCTCTCTTTTCTTCTTCTTCTTTCCTTCTTCTTTCCCCTCTTTTTCCCCTCTTCAGAAAAATTCAATCGAGAATCGAGAACTCGATCATTTGAAATATGCTTGAAACGCGAACGATTGTTCCCCGGGGTTGATCGATGCGGCCCATAATTTTCTTTCGCATAAGGGTAACGTTCGCCCGGGAATTCATGAATACTTGGAAGCGGATACCGCGAATGCCAGCGGGTAATTTTCATAAATAACTCGCGTCCCCCCCCCCCCCCCCCCGATATCAAGATCGGATATCTTACGGCTTGCTATATTTCATTTTTTTTCTTCTTTTTTTTTCCCTCCTTCCGCGTTTCAAACTCCGGAACACGCCAGTACTTTCTCTCGCTTCGATTTTCCTCCTCGCGTCGTATCCCCTCCCTCTTCCTCCTCCGTGTTTACGGTCGCTTTAATAGGGAGTAAAAAAGTAGGGGGAGGGAGGGACGAGAGTGTCATCTCGCAAAGTAACGCGTAACCGGAGCGGATAGACGGATATTTTAATCCGCGGCCGCAAAAAACGACGGGCGAGGTTCCTCCGTCGCTCACTCCGGAAAATCCAGTCTGGATTGGAAGTGGAAGGGGCAAAAAAGGAACGGGCCAACTTATCTAACTCAAGACCACGCGCGTTGTTTCTTCCCTCGCGAAGGGATAATTCGCGTCCATTAACTCCGATAACGACGGAGTTGAGAGAAACGTTTAACTGTCGTTACGTACATTTCCCTTACGAAAGGATTCGTCAGATTTGCGATCGAATGAGGGAAAGAGAGGGTTTCTCTTTCTTTTTCTTCTTTTCCACTCACCTTGCCGAAATTGGACAGACCGCCGATGCGTGCCACTTGACCGGGTTCATCCGCTGTGCTGCATTCTGCCCTAACGAACCAATAGGTCAGTAACTCAATGCCAACAATCCTCGGCATTATCGTCGTACAATGGACCTCTAATCGCACTATGATTGCACACGCGCGTATACACACGCCAATTCTAGCCAAGCGACGCGGGTGGAATTGTTCGTCGAGGCTAACAACGACCGGCGGGGATCGACGAACGTCTTCGTATAAACGCGGGTATTCGAATCGATTTCGCCTCTCATCGAAAATAAACCCTTACCTTACTTAGCGCGAAATAGCGCGCGGTGGCCGATAAATCTCTGTCCACGAGGGATTAATTACCATCACCAAGACGAATTTGCTCGAGAACGATAACGTTTGGCCGACGGATTCGGTAAACATCTCTCAACGTTGATAGGATTACGGATAGACGACGTAGGTAGGCGTGGAACCGGCACCGAGAAGTCCGGCCAATTTCGCCCGCCCCGATAATCGTGCGTATTAGCTCGATGTTCTCCAACCTCGGAAACGGAACGGACGATGCGACGTTTGCGACGCCAGGCGGCGGGACGATCGATTCGAGGGGCGAACGCGATGAATTCGGAGAGAATCCGCGTTTATACGGGATCCTGGCCTCGTCCGTGCTTGATCGTTCGACCGAGATCATTTTATCGTTATGGCTCGATCAAGAGGCACCACCGTGATTAACCGATTCCAATTATTCCCCGTTTATACAACGCTTTGTTTTTCGTTTCCGCAACGCGTAAAATGAAACGGTACGATACAAGTGAAAATCCTTTCTCGCGTTCGAGCGAGATTTTATAATTAATTTTTACTCCTGTTTCGTAAAATGCGAAATCTGTTTTACGTTAAAACAGATTTAAAACACAAGCGGCGTAGCGGTTAACATAGGAAATGGATTAAATCGTTCCTATGCGAGGATATTTATTAGGGAGGGCGATGAAATCGAAGTCGTAAAACGCGCGATCGATATGGGAAATTCCGAAACGCGGATAATATTGTTACGGTTTTCCATTAATCCGGCCATGATTCATCGTCTCGCCACCGGTTCGTTGCGTAATCGCGCATAAATAACCGGTTCCCGGTTTCGCCTCTCCGGTATAAATTTCACGGCCAAAAGATAAAATCGTCGATCATCCCTCCCTACCTTTTTGCCTTTCCTTTGCATCCACGTGCACGTTGTTTCTCGCAACGTTCAAACCACCGACCACGAATTATAGGTACTCGCGTCTCGGTCCCAAACTTGCAAACTTACGCGCCACCCTGTTAAACGCCTGTTCCCTTATTGTTAAAAGTCGGTACTTGTACTTGTTTGCGTTTACCAACCGAGACAATAGCGGCTCGATGAAAGTTTTATTCGCGTTAACTATCCTTTGTCCCACGATATTACGAGCAAGGGAGGCGGAAGTTTTAACGGTTATAGGGAACGGAGGATCGAAGGCCTTTAAACCTCGCGTTAAACCGAATCGAGCAGCTTTTGCTCCGATATTAGCGCTTCGAATAGTTTACCTTTGCCGCGAGATTATCGCTTCATATTCATATTTTTCCGATCCTCCCTTATTCGGGTTTAATTGATATCAACCCTCGAGCAATTTTCACTTTTTCACACCTTTGGTGCGCGCGCGCGTGAAAAAAATAAATTCTGACTTTATTTCGCACAGGGCGACCGGTGTCTCTCGCAAAAGCCGCGCTTCATTCGAGACTTTTTATTGTTCCCCGTCCAGTTTGTCGTTCGTTTTTCATTACTACTGTGTACTCGCCGCAGCCCGTCGCGTCTCCCAAAAGGAAATTCGTCCATTGTTTGTTCTCGAATAATATTTCTGTATATATGTATGCATACATATATATGTATGTATATGGCAGCTGAATCGCACCAATTTCCAATCCTAACGTAATTTCGAATCTCTCGCATCGCGAACTTGAAACAGCTGTCTCGACCAGCGTCGTCGAAACGGTTCCACCACGTGAGAGATATCGATATCTACGTGTATTGCTTCACGCGTGTCCTAAATGCAAGTCAGAGGTTTCACGGCAACGATCAATCCAACAAGGATTTTCGATTCTACGAGCGCCGTAGCTTTTCCATTCGAGATGTAATCCGATCTAAGGATCGTATCGATTGGGACGATACGTCTCGATTGGTAAACTCACCAAGGCGTGTTGCATGTGTGCGTGAGGGTGAGGTATCTGGCGCCCAACTCGTACAACATCCTCAGAACGGCCAGACTCGCTCCAACCGCGTGGCCCCCTTCGACCCCTATCAGGCTCGCTAATCTACCCTCCTTGTGAGCCCTCTCTATACCTGAAACCACACGTTAAATCCTCCTTCAATTCTCTCTTCCATTCTCATCATCATCATCATCATCATCATTATTATTATTATTATTGTTGTTGTAATTGCGTAGACACGACTCCCAACTTCCACCCTTATCGCGAATCTTCTCAAGTACCGTCATTCGGCTAATTATTACGGACTCCTTCCTCCCCATTCAGACACCCTTCGCAATCCTTACCGGAAATATACGTATATATGTGTGTATAAATTGTATATAAATTGGTTGGCTGGTGAATACGCGATACAACTGATGCATACAATAAAGGAAGCGAATGAGAGAGAGTTCTATTTACGTTTGATCGAGAAGATAATTTTGTAATACGTACTTGAGAGAAAGAGTTAGTTTTATAGATACTTTATTCGTTATGGAAAATATTGAAGCTTTTTAACAAATCTGAATTAAAAAATGTGTTTTTATTTATTATTGTATCGTTTAAAAGAAGAATAATATAGAATCTTATATCAGGGTTGTAAGTAATTTAAGAACGGTTTATTAATTTTATTTAGACAATGATAGAATTGAAAGTTAATGCATAGTAGTAGTAGTAGAGATTCGAAGCTAAATAAACATATTGTATATTAAAATATAAAAACAATCTCATTTACGCAATCTCACTGGTGAACGATGTTTTACCAGTTATAATTATCGTATAACACTTCTTTATAAAAATATTACGGAATAAGCGCATCTCATATTCGTTATCTTTACGTGTAATTAATTAAAAATTACTTTTCATCATTTTATTGCAACGCTTCATTGTAAAAATATTACGGAATCTCGCGTTAATAACGTATCTTACATTCTCTTACTCCGCGTACGATTAATTAATCGCTCGTCACTTTCGATCGTCGATTTAATTTCTCTATAAAAGAAAATTTTAGTATTGCAACGTTTCATATTTCTTATCTTTATACGATTAATATCTTTATACGAAAAACCACTTGCCACTTTCGACATCGGTCGAATCGAATCGTTTTATCGCAATACTTTTTCGCAAAATTATTACGCAAAATCCCGCGTCAAATATTTCAAATTCGTTTTATTCTACGTGTGATTAATTAAAGTCAATTTTTAACCATCGATTTCATTGCAACACTTTATAAAAATATTAGGAAATCTCACATCAAATGTACGTGGAAAATTCGTTACCTTTTTTGCTCTACGTACGATTAATTAAAGCCACTCGTCGCTTTTAATCGTTGATTTCGTCGCAACACTTTTATAAAAATATCACGAGACCTCGTATTAAACGTATTAAGCACTCTCATATTATTCTACGTACGAATAATTAAAGTCACCTGTCACTTTTTCATTCCAACGCTTTATAAAAAATGTTACAGAGTCTCGCATCAAACACACGTCCCAAATTCGTTACCTTTTACTTTACGTACGATTAATTAAAGCCACTCGTCACTTTTAATCATTGGCTTCGTTGCAACTTTTTTATACAAATGTTACGAAGCCTGGTATTAAACAGTTTCAGTATTATTCCACGATCGATAAGAAGCCACTTGTCGCTTTTCGATCGTTCTTTCGATTGCAAGAAAAAATATTGGAAAATTTCACATCGAATATCTCAAATTCCTTATCTATCACTCTCTTATGTACGATTAGAGCCACTCGTCCCATTTGATCGTCGGTTTCGTTCGCTTTTTTGCAAAAATATATCGCGCATCAGAACACGTGTCGTTCGTACTTTTACTTTACGATTAATTAAAGCCACTCGTCACTTTTAATCGTTGGCTTCGTTGCGTTTCTTTATACAAATATTACGAAGCCTCTCACATTATTCCACGATCGACCAAAAGCCACTTGCCACTCGTTCTCGATCATCGTTTCCATTGCAACGCTTTCCAAAAAAACATTACACAAATCTCAAACACGACGTCTCGAATTCGTCACTTTACACTATATACAATCAATCAAACTCACTCCTCATTTTAATCGTTGGCTTAGTTACGACTTCTTTATACAAATATTACCTCTCACTCATTATTCCACTAAAAGCCACTTGTCACTCGTTTTCGATCATCGTTTCCATTACTTTACAAAAAAACATTACAAATATCAAACACACGACGTCTCAAATTCGTTACTTTACACTATATACAATCAATCAAACTCACTCCTCACGGTTAATCGTTTAGTTACGACTTCTTTATACAAATATTATCTCTCACTCATTATTCCACTAAAAGCCACTTGTCACTCGTTTTCGATCATCGTTTCCATTCCTTTACAAAAAAACATTACAAATCTCAAACACACGACGTCTCGAATTCGTCATTTTACACCATATAATCAATCAAATTCACTCCTCATTTTAATCGTTGACTTAGTTATGACTTCTTTATACAAATATTACCTCTCATTCATTATTCCACTAAAAGCCATTTATCACTCGTTTTCGATCATCGTTTCCATTGCTTCACAAGAAGAACATTACACAAAACACGCGACGTCTCGAATTCGTCACCTTTCACTCACGATTAATTAAAGTCACCTGTCACTTTTGATCGCCGGTCTAATTGAATCGTTTAAATTGGAGACCGCTGGCGGTTATCGGCCGGATCATTAATTACGAAGCGTAAACGAGGCTCGATTAATCCCAACGCGAATAGAATAATGGAACGTTGTTGGCCAGTTTCGTTCGGAACGATTCGAGACACCCTCGGCCGGATCCTTCTTGCGGCCGGGTTTATATCGCGTCAGTATTTAGCGAGCGAGCCGGTGAATTCGATCGGCAACCCGACCGGTTTAATCGTTTTAATCGAGTCCGGCCGGTGTAAAGGTGGGGAGCACGACTATCGGCCTCCGTGAAATCGGATTCGCAGCCTCGGTGTCGTTCGGATTCGATTAAAACACCGCGAACAAATTGCGTTAGGTCGCCGGTTCCGGGATACCGATACACCGCGGATATAACGCTGGCGGATGGACGAGAGAGAGAGAGTTTTCGCGCCGCTTCAGGCCAACCCCCGGCGGGATGTCCACCCGCCATTTATCGCGGGGAATTCGAACTTTTCCGCTTTCGACCGCACGCGATCCAGCTTTTCCAACCTCGCTAATGGAACACCGATTCTCCGCGGCTCGACGAATTTACTCGAAAACCTATAATCCCGATAGATTCTATATCCTCTTTCTATATATCCTCCTACGTGTCGCGTATACGTGTACGGATCTCGATCGCGTGCATTTATCTCTTCCGTGAAATGGAGCGAAATGGAGCAGGCGAAATTATTCCTTCGTATCGAACAATTTTAATTTCTTTCATTTCTCTGGTATTTAATCGTAATTAGAGAACAAATGGAAAGAAACAGGGGGAACAGTGAGCCGCGACGAATCTCGATTTATATCCGTCCGTCGATTTGCGATGCGAGAATTCGCCAGATTCTTTTCGAAAGCTTCGTTCCACAATTTTCGTCAATCAATCGTCTTTTCCTCGCTCTTTCGATACAAAACATCACGCTTTACGATCTCTCGAAGGAGTTTGGAGCGATAATTCGATTGGATCGGGCGAGAAATCATAAACGGTGGCGGCAACTTCGTCTTGTTGCCTCGTAAATTCCTCCTCCAACTCCGGGGGACATTTTGAACTATTGTTCCAAAGTATCCAGGCGCGATGGTACGTAGCTTCGCCACGTGGAAAGTTTCCCGACCCGAGGCAACAACCGGCTCGGATAAACACACGGACTTCTCCGTACCTTGTTTCTTAGAATCCAATACGAGACGATGCCATAAGAAAACAACGCGGCTCGTGTCACCTTCGCGTGCGTTTAAATTTTGTTTCCACGAGATCAGTCTCGTACCGACCTTCCTTCGAGCAAAGCGTGTTTCAACTTTACTCGATCTTTTCGCGTTCGACCGATTCAACCTCGCCGATGAAGTCCACTTTTCACTTCCACCGCGACCAAACAATTGTAAGGAAATTTCGTAATTGCTCTCGATTTCGACAAGTTTTTCCATAAGATTTCTCGCGAGCCATAGTTGAAATTCCGTCGATATCACGGCATAAGTGTGTAGCGCATAAATCATCGGGATAACGCAAAGATATGTTTCGGCGGAGGGAAAAAGCAACTTGCAAATTTCGAACAATCGTTCCTTTATACGCCTCGTGTATATACGGCTATCGCGTGTCTATTTACATATGCATGTGCATGCCGACACGAAGCCGCGACGCCGTGTGGTTCGGCTTATCGAACGGTCGGGTGCGGCTTGACATTTTTCCATTTCACTTGAAATTTACAACCGGCTGAATCTTCCGTCCCCCTGTCGGCCCGATATTCTCTCATCGGATCCGCGTTTTTCGAGGATTATCGCGCAGCGCCCTGAAGTCTCGCGAGATCGCTCGTCTTCTCGCGAAACTTAGCTTCTTTCGAATCCATTTCGAAAAAATTCTCCTTTCGTTATCATCGCGACGAGTTTCTTCTCCTCTCGTCCCATCTTCCTTCGAAAGAATCGAGTCGAACGATCAACGAAGAATCGTTGCTTCGTCCTCCACCAGTCCTCGTCCTTTTCCTTCGATTTCCCGACTCTCTCTTAATCCCGTTCGTGACGAACGCCCCGATCATGGCGACGATCTTGAGATCGAAGAACACGTATCAAAGACGAACCGTCGAACTATTCCACCAACGAGGGACAAGGGAATTGGAGAGGATGGCTCTGGATATCTTTTTTCGCGACATCCTAAATTCTCGAGAAGTGTATTCACGACGGCGATAATAACAGGAGGGGGAGGAGGGAGCTGGCCCGAGATTTCCACTGCGAAAGGACGACGGACAGGGATTCCACCCCGTTGGACGTTTTGGCACCGGTCCAGCGAATCTCGTAGGCCGAGAACGGGCAACCGGAAGCGCATGCAGGAAGGCCGGTTGTTCGAAGGGGTTCGTCGATCTCGATCGAACCTTTCATATAGTACGTGGGTAAATTTCCTTTCCGCCGAACGACGGATTGTTTTCCAAGCACGTAGGGATGGAGGGGGGCGAGTTCATTTATTATCCATCTCGCGAGCCGGTCGATCGTCGAACGCGACGAGGAATTAATTAAAACGGAAGTGGAAAAGACGCGAGAGTTAAGGCAGAGGCGTGGAAGATTTCGCTCCACCAAGATTTTCTCCGGATGGAGAGGTCTGGGAATTCTTTTCGAGGGTGTCTGCCAGCCACCAGCCACCAGCCAGCCAGCCAGCCGCCCCCTGACATTGGCGGAACGCCAGAAATTGTGGCGGTGTGTAACATCGAACGGCCCATTCTCGGAACAAATAGCGGATGGTAATTCCCGACGTTCGTCGACCTCGAGCCTCGATTTCATATTCTTCGCGTGTGAACCGAGAAGAAGACGACTCCTTTCACCCTCCCAGAGATCCTAGAGATGGACGATTTTCGAATACGATGGGCCTTCCTTCGCGAGAGAACGCTGACTAAGAACGTACGTACATGCATACATCCACGTATATCTGTAGACCCTCTAAAGTTGGCGAAAGACGTTCCCGAGGAGAGAGGGGAGATTCTGTGTCGAAAGACGAACGCACCGTATATTTACATTATACCAGATCCGATTGGCAATTAATAATTCCGTGTTTAACTTGGGAACCAGTTTGGCGATTCTATTAAGGAGCAGCGATACTCTCTCCAACTCGGAGGGCAGCAATCGCGTGTTGTTCGATCCGCGCCGTATTTCCGTTTACTTTCGCCGACGATTTAATTCGAGCTTCGAACCCGGTTATCTAATAGGGGCGTGTAACGAGTGGTTTGCATGTACGCGCAAAATTTGTTCAACGAACAAATACTCGCGTTTGTCACCGAATGTACTCGCGATGTCTCGGTAATCGTCACGAGAGAGGCCGCTTCGTTTCCTTTTTTTTTTTTTTTTTTTTTTTTTT